TATTTTTATTTTTATTATTTTTATTATTATTATTATTATTATTATTAATATTATTATTATTATTAATATTATTATTAATATTATTATTATTATTATTATTATTTCGTGTGATTAACCTCCTGTTTATTTATTACCTAATATGCACATATTAAATATATATATATATATATATATATTATACCGTTACCTTTACGTGAGCAAATAAATTGATTATTATATACCGGTTCGCGGATGGAGGGAGCGGCCGTGCAGTTAGCCTCTCCCGCCTCCACTCCTCCTTCGTCTCCTTCGTATTTTCACTGTCAGTGTACAAACAATGTCTCTCTGTGTGTGTATGCATGCACGAGTGTGCGCGTTCAACGCGCTCGCCGGCCCACCCAATGAGCTTCGTGTCTCGTTTTCCTTTGCTCCGCACTCTACATTGCTCCCTTGCTCCCTCTCTTTCTCTCTCTCTCACACTCTCACTCTCTCTCTCTTTCTCTCTCTCTCTCTATCTCCGTTCCTTTTTTTTTTTTTTTTTTTTTTTTTTTTTTGGTACATGTGGCCAAACGATGGGCGTTCGACGTGGTGGATCATCCTTTCGATCGATAAACGTTCGAATCGAGCACGCTTTGAGCGTCGCGTTCGAACCGGAGAATGGTCGATGCTTTTGAAAGACTGAATGGCTTAAGCGTGAGTTCGTAGAACTTTGAGGTTTGTTCTTTTTCTTTTTTTTTTTTTTCTTTTTCTTTTTTTCTCCCTCCCTCCCTCCCTTTCTCTTTTCTCCGGAAGTTCTCGGGTACCTTGAAAGACTGGTGGAGGAAAGCATTTTTCGAGACGTTGGAACGATTCGCTCGAGGACGTAGCGCGAAGCACTCGAGAAGACGTAAGAAATATCAATGTGTGTAAATACCAAGGCATGGCGTATATCGAAATAAGGTGTTCCTCCCCTCTTTCTCTCTCTCTCTCTGTCTCTCTGTGGTGCGAGAGAAACAACGGTTTACCGGCATCGACGAGTTTCCAACGTCTCGAAGCTTTCGTGATTTGTGTGTTATCCATTTTGGGCCATTGAGGATCCTATCACGCGTTCCCAGGAGCGAGTGAATCTCAACGGGGAGACGAGACGCGTGTCGCCCTTCGTAACAGGAGTAATAGGATTTTCGGCGTACCAGTGCGCCCACTTCCGAATAACATCCGATAATCTCCTCGTCGTTGGAACTCACAGCCGGGAAACACCCTTCGAACCCGTTCTCATTGTCCTTCCTCGCATCCCTCTGGATTCGAAATGGCTCGCGTCCACTTTAACGAAGCGAAGTCGCAGGCGAAGAATAAACAATCGATGATCCTTGCCCCCAACTTCCTTATCTCCCTTCCTTCGATTTTCTCCCTTCTTCAAGCTTTGCCCTCGAGATCGACGTATATAAAACAAAATCGTGGAATAAAGAGGAACTTTGAGAATTGGTTCGAAGGATTCTCTCTCTCTCTCTTTCTCTTTCTTACGATGAAACGTACGAAAGAGGCAAATTTCATTCGAAATCGATGGAATCGCGGATGGATCGAAGGTGATCGATAGATCGCCGTACCCTCCCTCCCCCGATATTTTTTTTATCAAATAGGATCGGTATCGATACGACGATCGTCNCGGTCGTTTTCCCGTTCCAACGAGGAGAGATCGCCACGGATTTCTCACGTTCGTCCATCACGCGGCGAATTATAGACAGACAGGAAGATAGAAGATAGAAAAAACGGTTTCTGGACGAATCTCGATTGGTCCTCACCCCGGGAAGAGGAGAAACACGCTGATAGCGCCGCGCCCTGGTACGTCGAATCTTCCTGCCAAACAACATCTCCTCCCGCCCTGCTGTTTCCATTCTTCAAACTTATCGATAACTCCCCCCAACTTCCTCCCCCTGAGAACCGATCGGATCTCTCAAGAGGCCGTTGCTCCTAAAGTTGGCAGTTGTTTGCGAGCTTCTCCGCTCGCGATCTTCTCCTTTCTCTGTCTCTCTCTCTCTCTCTCTTTCACACACACATTTTCTCTTTCTCTCTCTCTCTCTCTCTCTTTCTCCCCGATATATTTCTTTGGAAACACGCACGACGAAGAAGGATATCGTCCGCTCGATATCATACGATGGAATTACTCGATCGATGGCTGCCAGATAAACGCGTGCTCGCTGGAACAACGTTCGTTCACACGCCTGAAGCGGATTCACCGAGGAATTTTATGCAACGGGATTAATTGCCTGGATCAAAAGAAAAACTTTTCGATACTTGGTTATATATGGAGAAATAAATAAGAAATTGTCGAAAGAGGGAAGGAAACCGTGGTGAAAAAAAAAAGACGGAGAAGAAGCGGAGGGTGTTTCCCTTCCTCCTTTTTCACCTTCCTTCGTGTCCTCCCCCTCGCGTTGCTCGAGGGGGAGGAGGGCAGCGCGNTTCCTGGCACGATAATCACCGACTCGACCGACTCCCATTCTTCCTCGTCCCGTTGATAATGGCAATTCTCCTTCTTCGTCGTGCGCTCCGTGCGAGACTTCCCCCCCTCTCCCCTTTTGGTTCCAAGCTCCTATGTTCGTGTGCTCGGTTGTGCGTGTCGGCGTGTGTCGTGCCCGCGCGAGCGCGGCGCACCCCCGTGATTATACGATGTGTCGAGAATATGGGGATGAATATATCGCGTTGTGTGTGTGTGTGTGTGTGTGTATGCTCGTACGTTGTTGTGTGAGATCGTCGGCCGAGTATATCTACGCACGTTGACAGATTGTGGCGTGTCTACGCATTACGCGTGCGCATACGCGTGTACGCGTGTCATCTTCTCTCGTCGATGCATTCTCTGCTTTTTCGTCCTTTTTTTCTTTTTTTATTCTTTTTCATTTTTATCTCTCTTCTTCTTCTTCTTCTTCTTCCCCTTCTTCTCCCTACTCCCCATTCTTCGTTTTAATCCTTCTCGCCACGTATAAATTGTAACGTGCGGTCCTGCGCAAATGTTTACCACCAAAAATGTGTGTTACAATTATGCATGCGCGTGTAGATGCGCACAAAGATGCATGACAAAGAAATCGCGGGTATCGTCCCTCTCGTAACCGATCTCCTCGTAATGTGCGTGTACGAGTATATTATATATCTGCGTGCGTGTATATATGTATATACGTGTGTTAAGTGTTAAGTAATGCTTTGTGTGTATTTTTGTGTGTGTGTATGTGTATGTCTCTTAAACGTCTTCTTATATAAAATCGGCAGTTCGGGCAGTTCGACGTCTCGCCGCACGACTCTAGCCTTACGTATGAAACCAGATTTACAAAAATACGTTGCGCGTGTGTTTCGCGTATTTGGCACTTTTTCTCCCCTCTCTTACCCTCCCCTCCCCAATTCCTCCCCTCGTCTCTCTCTCGACAATCTCGGCTAACCCCTCTTTCGCTCCCATTCGCTCATCGCTACTCCTCTCTCTCTACTCTACTTCCTTACTCCTCTCCTTCGCTCGTTCGTCCACGCTATTCTCTCTCTCTCACTCTCTCTCTCTCTCTCTCTCTCGCCTTCCCTCCCCTTCTCAATACTCAACACTCAACGTCTCCCAGTCTCGAAACAGTCTCAGGATCGAATATATCCATAGGATAAGATCCCCGTGCTCGCAAGTTCGGAGAGGGAAAGATCGACGCCACCTCCTCGTGGAATCCTCCTGTCGCTCCTCGCGTAACAATATCGTTTCCTGGCCGTGTTCCTTCGTGGAGATCCGATCATCTCTGGCGGCAGCGATCGAGAGAGGGTCCTGTTGCGCGTCGACGCGAAAATCGGCAGTTTGGATGATGGGCGGCGGCCGTGGCACGACAACGGCCACGACAACGACCACGATTATGGTGACAGCGGCGGCGGCGGCGGCGGCAGCGGCAGCGGCGGGGATGATGGCGAGAACGACGACAACGACGACGGCGACAACGACGACGACGACGACGACGGCGACGACGGCGACGGCGACGACGACGACGATGCCGGCAAAAATAGTCGCGATGACGACTGCGACGACGGCGGAGCAGCTGCCGCTGTGGACGCGGCGCGGGGCCGCGCGGGATCGTCGACTAGTCCTCCTCGGGACCCATGTTCATCAGCATCATCTTCTTCTTCGCGATCTTGCTGTACTTGATGTCGATCGGCTTCGTGGTATCGTAGAGGCTCGGCGCCTGGAGAATGATCAACACCGTGCCGAGCACGCAGGCCACCGTGAATATCCAGAGGAAGATCCGGTCGAGCACCATCGCCACGTATTTCCAGTCCTCCTCCACCTGGAAACAGAATTCATATCGGGTTCGCGTCAGCTTCGTTCGTCGTTAAATTATCATTTCGATATTTAATCCAATACACGAAACGAAATCCTTCTCCTCTCGCTCGTTGAATTCTTCACGACGGATATCGTTATTGATATCGTCACACCCCTTTCGCAACGAATCACCGTGTACACACCGTGAGATCGGTTGGAAAAGGTTGCTATTAGGGGATGAGAGATCGCGAAGGGACGAGAGTTCAGATACCGTCGTAAATATAATATCTCGTTCGACGAGACCGACCGTTAGTCCTTTTTACAAGGTGGAGGCTGAACATTCCTCCCCTTCGTTCCAGACTCGTATGTTCAGGGAGGAATGAGAAACATTCCTCTCGAGTTTTCCTCCATCGTATCATCTCTTAAAATGTGTAAGGAAAAATCCAGCACACACCGGTATCTCGGGGAACTTTCTGTATCTAAGGAGCTAAAAGGCGAGTCCTATCTTTCCAACTTTCAATCGAACAGATCTTTTACACGCGACGTATATATAAAAGGGGAGAGAGAGGGAAGAGGGAAGGGACAACCGATCCTTCGTCTAAAGGGGTGTATCGACTCCTTTCGATTCCTTTTGACAAGGGAGGAAGTGGACGATAAAACAGACACCCGATACTTTTATCGCACTTTCCCCTCAAACGCCTATATATATCTGCCTCTTTTCGATTCCTTTTCCAACTGGTTCCACGCATACGATGCTTTTAGTCTCGATAGACCAACCCTTATTCGATCCCTTCCAACATCCTTCGCAAATAGATCGATGGATCGAGTGACTCGAGTCTACGAAGAAAGGAAATAAGGAATAAACGAGAAACGCGATCTTGAAAAATTTGTTTAATCGCAATATCAAAATTCTTCTTCTCTAAAGTTCCATCTCCTTCCTATTTGATATTGAAAGAACCAGAAGATGATATGTTATACCACCAATTCTTTTTCGCTCGTTCCTTATCATGTTCCAACTTTCAAATTGACAAATCCATCGAGTTGAAGTTTTAAGAGAATTTCTGAATCGTCGTGAAAAACGATGATCGAACTTTTGAACTCTCCACGTATTGTATTTTAATTTTCGCTGTTTACGATTGTAAACTCGCAAACACACAAGAGTCAGTCTCGCTAACGAGTCCATTAGCAGGTCGAGAAAGAAAGAAACGCGTCTCTCTCTCTCTCTTCCATTCTATAATTACAGCGTCGCATCGTGTTCCAACGCAACGAACCGTGCACAGAACCACAGACTTGCACGACTTTTTTCCCACGAGCTTGACTTCCCTCCACTATTTTACCATTTCTCGCGAGCGACTGGGTGCCAAGAGGCAATTTCGTCGACGCTCGATGTCCTTTCCTGGGGATCCAGATAGCCCCTATCTCCGCTATCTTTCTATTTTCTCTCTCCTAGTCGTTGGCCATTCACATTCAAAAACCAGACTCAGGTTCACGGGACCACCGCCTCCACCCGAACGCTCCTCGGTTTTTACCCTATTGCGATAGGGCGAAACTGTTATGAAATGCGAACGACGAAATTCAATTGCCCGATTTGACACCGATTCCGCTATTCATGGATCAGAAAATTTTCCTACGCATTTTTCCATCGATGTATCCTATTTGAAAGAGGAAAAAAATAAAAAGAATCTTTAGATCGTCGAACATTTGAACACTGATCAATTTTTCGAATCAGGAAAATCGGCGTTAAAGTTTCACGATTGTGAAGCAATGATAACTCGTGTCTAATTGCACATAGGTGAAGAAAGTATCGATCGAGTATAATTTCCCAATATTGCTCGAATTGAAACGCGATTTTTAAGCAATTAGCGTCAAGGATATCTAGAAGAAAAGACACGATATAGAAAGCAAAATTCGAAAATTCCAGATTTTTGCGAATAGAAGAGTTCACTTTAAAGAAATATACTTCAGATTTTTTTCGTTCAATAGTATTCCCAAAGCTATTTTCATCTGGCACCTTTCTTTAGGCGAGTGCGATTCTCACTCCCGTGCAGATTTGAGAATGATGTACAGGGATCGTGTAATATTTGCCCGGGAAAGAAAGCACACGCGGAAGGACATTAACCGAATTAAGCGCGGTTAACACGGGTCACGCGGCTAGAGGGTTCACCACCCCCGAGAATATGGACGCACAAAGCCCTTTTCGTTCGTTTCCAGCCGTTCCAGTCGGTCGACGACGACAAGACGTCACGTCTCCTCTTTCAGTTATTCCCTTTCTTTCTTTCCTTTCTTCTTTTCCTTTTCTCTTTTCTCTTTTTTCTCCCCCCTTTTTTTTTTTACGAATCCACGAGGAGAGAGAAAAGGGCGTGTCGCGCTAAAGGAACGGCGATTCTTTTTTTCGGGGACAAACGCGGGAACATTGGCGGAGCTTAACGAATCCGCGACAGGCCACGCACCTGTTCCCCCGGAAGTTACGTGTTTGACCGCCGACCCATAAAATCCGTTCGAAACACTCGTTTCGCCGCGTCAGTTCTTCGACCGTTTGCCCGATTTTGCAGACGCGCGAAAGTACAGTTTTCAGCGTTTTGAAAAGCGGTTCGTAGATACGTAAAGTGATATTAAAAAAGGAGCTTTGAGAATCGAATCGCGATATTGAATTATTATTAGAGTATGTCGGTTTCGATAAGTATCGAGAGTGAAGTTTTTAGCTACGTTCGAAAAAATTAAATGGAATCTATCGAGTACGTAGTTCGCTGTTATTAATCGATCCTGTATCAATTTTCGATTTCATCGTTCTCGAAGGAACAACAACAAGGGAAATCTTATCAAGTATATATCGCTTGACGTTATCTAATGGGAGTGGAACGTCGAAAGGAGGAATTCGTTTGTGAATAACAGAGTAAAGAAAACGTGCGTGGGGGAATGAAGAAGAGCGGGGAAAGAACGTCCCATAAAGAAAATTGAGGAACAGAGGCTCGATCGATAGCGTTCTCTATAGTTTTCCACGAGTAGCGAATACGCGTCAGGAATATCGGCGCCGCTTGAGATATTGCACGATAACGAATAATATAGTTCCATAGTTTTCTCACAACTTATACCCCGATCTAACATTTTCCTTCCTATTTTTCCCGAATACAATACGAAAAGTATTATATATGAACAAAATAACGAACAAATATTAATAATAACTCTATATTTTTCAAATTTGTTTCAAATTTCTTTCCTTTATTTTTCTTTTTCTCAAAAACCAATTTTAATCTAAATCTAACTTTTGATATTTTCTAAAATTCTTTTCGTTTTCCGAACAAATTATTAACGATAATTCTTCACTTTTCAAATCAATCTGAGATTCTTAGAATGCGCGAAGAAAATCTATGCGAAACCAATTTTAATCTAAACCTAACCTTCGACACTTTCCAAATTCTTTTCATTTTCCAATTTCCAATTAATAATACCTTCGTTTCATTTTTTTCAAACAAACTGTTAATAACAATTCTCCGCTTTTAAAATCGATTTCCCAGACTCGTGGAACGCGCGGAAAATGGAAATCGGAAAGCGCGAAACAATTCGCAGGGCAGGAAGTGGCACAGTCGCGCGCGTTCTCGCGTCCACGCTTGC